ATTCGCAAAGCACCGACAGATAAAGATGAGGCAAAGAAGGGGGAACAAGGGGGTCGAGAGCAACACTGACCTTCAGCCGGTGACACTTTAGTCGTCTTTGCAGCGTCTTCCAAGCCTTCCAATATCCTCATGGGCAATTCTCTCCCCCTTTCTTGTTCTTCTTCCACCAAGCTCAAGCCCAAGCCCAAGTCTAGGCCCGAGCCCACGCCCCCCTCCTCCTCCCCATCCTCATCCCCACCTCCCGTTCCCAGTATCCGGACCCTAAGTCTCCCCAAACTCGACAGAAACCCATCAACCAACCTCTCCTGCTCCGGCTCCAACATGAACCCTTTCCTTGACAGCTCCTCCGCCTTCGTTTTGGCCGTCATCTTCCTCATGCTATCCAAATACCCTCTCTCCGCCAAATCCTTGAAAATCGAGTTCTCGCCCGCACCAGCAATGACGCTACACAGCCTGATCATGGACAGGAACTCGGTCATGCCGTCCGGTAAGCACCTTGCCTGGAAGGCAAGAATCAAAATGGAAGCGAAGCGGGCGTCGCCTTCGGCTGGCGAAGAGCAGGGCGTGCTGAGGGAGCGGTTGAGGAGGGAGATGGACTTTATTCGATGAGAGAGGGCTGCTTGGGAGCCGGAGGAGCGGGATGAGCAGAAGGAAGAGGGGGAGGAGGTGACGAGGGAGAGGTGTGAGGCGGCTAGGCCGAGCATGGCGTGGACTAGGTAGTCGTAACCATGGGATAAAGCTGCCACATTATCCCAGACACTGTGTGCTTGTACGGGGAGAGGCGGGTAAGCGGCAATTAGGAAGTGGTGGAAGAAGCGGAGGTCTTCCATGGTGAATACAGGGGCGAAAGAAGTGGGATTTTGCTGCAGGATCATTGCTGGTGAAGAATTGGCCAGTCGAGCTTGCTGTCCTGTTCCTGATCTAGTGACCAAACGTGACAGAGCAGATGGGTTGGGCGGTTCGGGATATTCGCAAATCAGGCCTATGCGGGTGCAGTTGTCGCACTCGGGCAGTTTCTCGGAACACTTGACTCTCCGGCGTTTACAGGTATAGCAACCACGTCGGGATTTGGTGTGACCTTTTCGCGGGATGGGCTTGTTACGCCGCGTAGTGACGGTTGCGGAGACGGTGGTGTCCGACGTCGACCCGCAGCCCGAACCGGAGACGGAGTCGGAGCTGGAGTAACGGGTTTGTGTATACGCATTGTTGTGCGAAGCGAGGCCGATGTCAGATGGTGTGAGGAAGTGATTCTCAAGGGTATCGAAGCTGAAAGTCTGCTCAGGGAGTTTGAACCCTTCTGGCGTGTTGTTTCCAAAGTCGGTCATCTGGATATCTCCTAGCCAAGGCGCGAATGTCTGAAGGTACGTAGTGAATTCCAACAGGAAACAGTGAGGCAGCCATCACCAAAACTTGGCGATCTTGTTGGGAATAAAAGCAAGTCGGTGATGGTGTGGAGGCAACCATATTGTGCCGTCAATGGTGAAGGATTTGGTGAAAAGAGGCTATGTTGATGCTGGTCTACCCAAATATGAATCATATCGTCCAGGCTAGGCAGCGTTCACCGAATGACCTAACAGCAGCTTCTGTCAGCAAGCTATGAAGCGAGGAGGGCTACAATTCATAACTGGTGTTGATAGTTGGTGCAATCCGGATTGAGCAAGGTCAGAACTCCAGCCTGTCCACCGCGCATTGTGTTTCTTTCAAAGATATATTCCCCGTCGGTCCTCAATAAGAAACTTCACATGCTTCCGCTCTTCCTCTCTTGAACAAGGAACGAAGTCAATGTGGATGTTCTCAGTTGGAGATGCCTCGGCAGCTCGGAATGGAACAGAGCACTCAACGAATTTAAGGTTATAGGACCCCTGTTACTTTAGTTTGTTTACAAGTGCTTACCGTGCTAAGCCGCTGACAGCCTCCGCTCGTTTTAGTGGCACCCACTGAATGACAGTTTGAAGCTCGTGACAATGGAGCTTTCACAGCTCAATGATGGTTCGTTTGTTAGCGCGGTTCTTGTGGCAGGGGTCTGCAAAACAATGTGTAAGGAAAAGTAACGAAATAACCTCCTTCAACGCAACAAAGTTGGAGAGACTCTGAAGTCCCCGAAACGTACAGAGTGAGTACCAACTCTTTGCTTGACAATCGATGAAGTGGTGGTGGTTGCCCGAGTTGAGGCTGTTGAGCAGAGTACATACCTAGGTAGTGAAGTCCCGTGCATGCTAATGAACGTTCCAGCCAGAGCTTACATCGATGCAAAGCGACGTCACACGGCGCCGCGGGGCACAAAGTGGATGGTGACGCGGTCGATGATGGCCCACGAAGATACGTGTCGGTTGCCTTGAATGTCAGCAGCATGTTCTACTGAGGTCATCTGTACAACCGTCATGTACTGTATGTGTACACCCCATAACGTTGGACAACACGGTCCACGTCCTCTCCACTCCCTAATTCCAGGTTATTGTGAACCTCTTCTACGTACATCCTCTACAGTGGTATGTCCGTCGAGTTGTCACACGACGGCAACAACGGAAGAGACCATCCGCGACAGCCGTAGCTCTCCCTTAGGTGCTTACCGTCTCGGGCACTCTGGCTCGGAGCAATCAATTTCGCTTTTACTTCAACCTCAACAAGCCGCCTGACTCCATGTCGGATACACGTCTGACAGCTACCCTATTCGCAAACCCGGCCCAACAACAATCCTTGACCGTCTCCCGGTTCCGCTTTGATTGGCACTTCCACAAGCCTCGGCCCGACCCGACCTGATGACCTATCTGTATAATACCCTCGGGCAACACCTCCTCCTCCTCTAACCACTCGAAATCATCACACACAACTTGACTACCATGGCGAACACAGGGCCCGGAAATGTGCCTTTGCACTTCATTCAAAAACCTCCCTTTACCGTCGAGGACCCCAATGCCCAACCGATCCCAGGCGAGACCATTCCCCGCCGACATCCCAAGGCTAAGAATGGCCTCGCGACTCGCCCTGCACCTGGAGTCAACACCACTCTAGACCTCCTTACTAGAACCGTGGAGCTGTACGGTGATGAACGCGCCATAGGAAGCCGCAAGCTGATCAAGCTTCACAAGGACATCAAAAAGGTCCCCAAGGTCGTTGACGGCGAGACCGTCATGGTGGACAAGGAATGGCAATACTTTGAGCTTACTCCGTATTCGTACATCACCTACGGAGAATATTTCACCATCGTGAAGCAGATAGGCGCTGGTCTTCGCAAACTCGGCTTGGAACCCAAGGACAAATTGCACATCTTTGCTACCACGAGGTACGCTCCTGCTTCTTGCCTATTCCTTCTTGCATCTGCACTTTGCTGATGCTGTCTTTATGCACACCACAGCCCCCAATGGCTCGGCATGTCGCATGCCGCCTCGTCCCAGTCTCTCACCATCGTTACCGCCTACGACACCCTCGGTGAGAGCGGCGTCCAACATTCCCTTGTCCAGAGCAAGGCGAGCGCCATGTTCACCGACCCTCACCTTCTCAAGACAGCTACGAACCCGCTCAAGGAGGCTACATCCGTCAAGATCGTCATCTACAATAATCACACTACGCAGCCCGTGTCCCAAGACAAGATTGATGCCTTCAAGGCCGAGCACCCGGACCTTACCGTGCTCTCTTTCGAAGAACTTCGTGCTCTCGGCGAAGAGAACCCCGTCCCACTCACACCCCCCAATCCGGACGATACCTACTGCATCATGTACACCTCCGGCAGCACCGGTCCACCCAAGGGCGTTCCCGTCAGCCACGCTGGCTTTGTCGCCGCCGTAGCCGGTCTCTACGCCGTCATGGAGGAATCCGTCACCCACCGCGACCGAGTTCTCGCCTACCTGCCGCTTGCCCACATCTTCGAACTCGTCCTGGAAAACCTCGGCGTCTTCGTTGGCGGGACCCTTGGATACTCAAATGCCCGTACCCTTTCCGACACCAGCATGCGCAACTGCCCGGGCGACATGCGCGCCTTCAAGCCCACGATCATGGTCGGCGTTCCGCAGGTTTGGGAGACCGTCAAGAAGGGCATCGAGGGCAAGGTCAACAGCGCCGGCGCCCTCACCAAGGCCTTGTTCTGGGGCGCCTACAACATCAAGTCCTTCCTCGTCTCCAATAACCTACCCGGAAAGACCATCTTCGATGATCTCGTCTTTGGCCAGGTGCGCACCATGACGGGTGGCGAGCTGCGCTTCATTGTCAACGGCGCCAGTGGTATCGCCGCCTCCACGCAGCATTTCATGTCCATGGTGGTTGCGCCCATGCTAAACGGATATGGGTAGGTGATTTTCTGTCTGTCTTCAATCAGTACTTCACTTTGTTAGAAAACGCTTTGCTTACCATGTCAAAAACAGCCTAACCGAGACCTGCGGCAACGGCGCCCTCGGCTCCCCCATGCAATGGACCTCCAACGCCATCGGCGCGATGCCCGCCGCCGTGGAAATGAAACTCGTCTCCCTCCCCGAACTCAACTACCACACCGACACGGTTCCGCCCCAGGGAGAAATCCTCTTCCGTGGCGCCTGCGTCATAAAAGAGTACTACGAAAACCCCGAAGAAACCGCCAAAGCCATCACCCCCGACGGGTGGTTCAAATCCGGCGACATTGGCGAGATCGACGCCAACGGCCATTTGCGGGTAATCGACCGCGTCAAGAATCTCGTCAAGCTCCAGGGCGGCGAGTACATTGCCCTAGAGAAACTCGAGGCTGTGTATAGAGGAGCGGTATTTGTGCATAATATTATGGTGCATGGTGACAATAGTGCCCCGAGGCCGATCGCGGTGGTGGTACCTAATGAGAAGGCGTTGACAGAGAAAGCAAAGGAGTTGGGACTAGGCGCGGAAGCGCCGGGTGAGATGCACAGGAATAGGAAGTTGAGGGATGCGGTTTTGAAGGAGTTGCAGAGTGTGGGGAGGAGGGCTGGGTTAAGTGGAATGGAGACGGTGGCGGGGGTGGTGTTGGTTGATGATGAGTGGACGCCGGCGAATGTGAGTCCCTTTTTTTCTTGGTCCGTGATGAAAGGATTTATGGCGAAGGTGATGCTAACGTATTTTAATGATAGGGTTTTGTTACTGCTACGCAAAAGATTAATAGGAGAGCGGTGAAGGAAAAGTACTCGAAGGAGATTTCGGATTGTCTTGATGGAAAATAACCTAGCCTCGCCCGAGCATTGTTTGAGAGGGGTCGGCTAGGACATGAGAAGGGGTAATTGTAATGGCACCTTGCAAATGGAAAGGGGAGGAGGCCAGAAGACACTCATCCTAGGCACTATGGTAAGGTCAAGCGGATGGGACAAACTAGCATTGTTTGGCATTCATTCATTAGAAGAGAAGAAGAAAAGGGGACTGGGATAGGATACCCTACATGTTTACGCCAGTATTAGGTAGTTTTGCATCGTTGTGCTTTCTCAAGAAGTCAGTTAGTATTATATCCTTATACCCGCCTTTCTGTTCACCGTCTTTCATATTTAAGTATTGTGCAGTTGGTAAACACAAAGAAACAGGGGTATTGTGCGTGCCTATCATAAACTAATAAAACCAACGAGGTTTTTGCAGAGGAAGACAGAAATAAAGAAAAAAAAATACACAGTGTTGCTGTTGTTCGTAATGACCAGTTACCAACTGAACCTAAACATACTGTAAACAGTAATATCTTGTTTAGGCAGTTGGGTTGGGCGTAAGATGGCTCAAAGACACACTACCATCTGCCACCACCGTAACCACTACCGTCATAGTCATAATCTCCTCCTCCCCTTCCTTGTCCTCCATACCCCCCTCCGGCATATCGTCCGTTTTCTCCGTTTCCTCCTCCATTGTTGTGGGGTATCTGATTCTGCCTCATGTCCATGATCCTTTCTCCTCGCTCGATGTCCTCGTTCCACCCGTTATTGTTGTGGTAGTTGCTATTATTGTTGTTGATATTGATAGTGTTGTTGCTTTGGTCGTAGTTATTGACGTTATTGTTGTTGTAATTGTTGTAGCTCGGTTGATAGCTCGATTGGTAGCTCGGTTGGCTGAAATAGTCCTCATCCTCATCCTGCTTTTGGTGCTGCTGCTGCTGCTGCTGCTGCTGCTGCTGCTGCTGCTGTTGCGGTTGTTGTTGATGCTGAAGGAAAGGAGGAGCAGTAGCCGTCCTTGCTATCGGTCTGATATCACCATCACTACTGTTGCTGTCTAAAGCAATGGGAGCCGTGTTGGTCCGCATAAAGGTGTTGCCGAAGGTAGTGGGGCCGAAAAGATCTTCGCCGTCGTTGTCGACTTCGCGGTCAGAAGAGGCGGGCTGCTGGCGCTGTTGCTGGTCCTGAGAGAGAGCGCGGTTGATGCCGCCGAAGTAATCGTCCTCTTCATCTTCCTCCTGCTGCTGAGGTGCCGTAGCGCGGCTGTTGCTGGCGCTGCTCTCTGGCCTGACATCATTATCGCTGTTACCACCGAGGTGATCACTGGAAGCAGCATCGTTACTTGCTTGTCGAACAAGGGTGTTGTTGGCCAAGTAATCCTCACGGCTGGCGGGAGTTGGGGTAGCAGCGACGCTATCGTTGCTGGCTTGCCTGGCATGAGCAGTAGTAGTCTCCGGATCTCGACGAGAAGAAGCAGTAGATGCAACGCTGCCGACACTACCTTGCCTCTGATGAGAACTGCTGCTACTGCTGACGGAAGAAGCCACGCTCCCTTTCCTGCTGCTGCTTGTGCTATTACTGACAGCACTAGCAGCCTTGGAAACACTACCGGCGCTTCCTTGCCTAGAGTGCGTCCCGCTACTCCTGGTTTCCTGATTGGCAGCACCACTACTGCCCTGGCTGCTTACACTTCCATTTCTCGTCTTGGGAGGAGCATCCGTCTTCCTCGAGCTAGGCGAGCCGTCCATCATGTACTCGAGATAATCTGAGGTGACACTTCCTGCTCTGGCGGGGGGCAGCTGTCCACTCGAGGTTTCGACCGGCAATTCAGCTGGTACTTCAGCCACACTACTCAGAGAACTCTTGCTAGGTTTCTGCTGATGGTGATAGTAGGGCTGCCCCTCCGGCGGAGCGGTCATGGTCCTCTGGGGAATGTACGGTTGGTATCCTGGTTGCGTCTGTGGTGGTGGAGCGCTTCCCAGCCTTGGAGGCATCTGTGAGTTGTTCTGCGCTGGATACCCATAGCCATCGTGCCCGTAGTTGTCATGGCCGTTATCATCATACATATAACCTTGTTGTTGTCCGTAATTGTCCTGCCTATAAATATCCTGGCCGTAACCACCACCGTAGCCATCCTGATCGTACCCGTTCGACATGTGGCCACTAAAACCACCATAGGGGTTGTTGGTTTGAGGTACTTGGCTACCTGCCGAGAAGTTGTCGTAATGACTTTGGTTTCCGGCGTTACCAGTATACGCACGCTCAATCGGTCTCGGCTCGGCGCCCCTGTAGTTGTTGTTAGAATAGCTCATCGCAGGAGCAGTTGGCGCCCTAGCGGGTAGCTGGAAAGCGGGCATCGTTGCGGTCGAGTAAGTCGCGGGACTATCAGTGTAGCCAGGTCCAAACGTGGAATTTGGCTGTTGCATTGGAGGCCCGAATTCATTTCTCGGAGGGGCTGTTCCAGCCCTGGGAGGAGGTGGCTGTTGCATGCCAGGTCTAAAGTTGTTCTGAGGCGGAACTGTTCCAGCCCTAGGAGGCTGATAGTCCGCTTGGGACTGGGGTCCAGCACTCGTGTTAGACAGCCCAGTCGCAGCCCGAGTAAGAGGACGAGGTTGGTTCGGCTGGAACTGCGACTGAGGCCCAGGACCCATGTTGGACATGCCAGTCGCAGCTCTTGTAAGTGGCCGTGGCTGAAAGCTCGGTTGCTGTGAAGGCACAGAACTGACGTTGGATATCCCAGTAGCCGTTCTAATAGGGGGACGAGGTTGAAATTCTGACTGCGACGACGCAGTATCGTAGTTAGACAGCCCAGTAGCGGCCCTACCAAGAGGACGCGGTTCGAAGTTCGACTGCGACGCAGTTCCATAGCTGCTCTGTGAAAGCATAGTTGCTGTTCTTGTCGGTGGGATATTATACATATCGATCTTGGGAACAGTAGGAGCATCATTGGCGCGCTGCCTAGCGGGCTCGGCGGCTGCCCCGATGAGTGACGTACTGGAGGCGCCAGAGAATTGCGTCGCAAAGGTTCCTGCACGGGATGGCGGCATCGGTCGCTTTTCAATCGACCCAAGCTCGTAGCCTCCCGGGGTAGAGGGTCGAGAGGTGTAGGCCGGAAGTGTAGCCATCGTATCTTGCCTGCTGAGCGATGGCATATCGGGCAACTTCTCGGTTCTGCTTTCAATGCTAGCGCCGACATTCGGTAGTGTCGCCTTCATTGTCATCGGCCTATCCTCGCCCTTCTTCTTGGCCGCTTTCATTTGCGCCTTCTTCCTCTTTTCTTCCTCCTCGGCCATTGCCGCGTTGATCTTGGCCGACACAATCTGCTTTAAGCGCTTGTTGACCTTGCGCTCGCAGAATCCAGTCAAGCCGCCATCCGCACGAGGGATATAACACCACAAGAAGCAGACGAAGAGGACTCCGGAGAGCAGCAATTGTAGGAATGAGAAGATCCAGATGAGCAGTGTAAAGCACATGCCGGATAGAGTAGCAGCTTGGCGGTAGTCGTTCTCAGCAAAAGCCTCGATTTTTCTGAAGAAATCCATCATTGAGGTTCCAAAATCCTGCCCATCTACTCTGAGGTTACTGTTGTAAAAAGAGTATAGGGTGAATGCGTTGACAACCTGTCGAGGTCCAGAACAGAAAAGGACACGGATCCATGCTAATAGGCACGTTGATGAGTATGATTTGGGTCAACGGCAACAAAAGGGGGAGGGGTGATGAGGGAGGCTTACATTGAAAGTTGAAGTAGCAGAACAGTGCAATATACTCAGCACCCTTTTTACTCTCGGTCAACGCGGCGAAAACCAGGAACCGCTTCCATCCTTTTCCGCCAAAAATTCGCAAACTCTCGAGTTTCGCGGCCAGGTGATCAAGGAAGGATTCGGCGACACTTCCGCTGCGCATAGCTCGGTTGGCACGAATATGCTCGTATATGAGGTTGACCGCAGAAAGGATAATGCAGATGGTGAAAATCCACTTTGATACGACGATAGGAATGAGTGAGGTTGGTTGAACCTGAGAAGACCATTTCTGGAAAGCCAACAGTTGAACCATGGTGAAAATATCGACGATGTAGACGGCGCACGAGATAAAGATGGAAACCCATAGGTAAGCGTACGCTAAAGGGGTGAAGACTGATGTGGATTTGAAGTCATTAAGACTCTTGATGGCGGTTAGTAGATGCAAGAGACCATCAATTGGCTTCTGGGTAAGGGAGGCTCACGATAAAATCCCACTTTTGTTCCGGTTGGACAGTCACCTTTCGCCGGAACAAATCAAAAAACCCCATCTTGTCAACAAGTTGGGGGGCAAGTAGAGCTGCCCAAAAGAAGTCCTAGTCGGGTAAGAGTAAAGAAAGAAGAGTTAGGTCAATCGACACAGTCGATACCAATTGAAATAAACCCGAAAAGAGTAAAGAAGATAATGAGTGGAATGCTCCCGGACCCGCCGTCGGCACAAGTCGTCCCTCGTCCAGCGATGGTGTTGACTGTGCCTACCTCTGTGAAGGGGTAAGACACTCCAGATTCGTGACGTCGATGAAGGTATCGACGACGACGATGAATTTGGAGAGTGGAAAGAAGAGAAAGGATAATCGATGTAAAGAAAGAAGAAGAAGAAGAAGAAGGAGAAGAAGCAGTTGGTTGGTGAATGAGTGGGTCGTTTCCTTCGCTGTGTGGAGGAACCGTCGAGCCCTATTCCAACTGGAGTCGCATTGCCGCAGATGGTTCAGAATGGTTGTGGAAGCGCCGCCGAGGATTTGCGTGCGTCTGCGGATTGGAATCGGGAAGGTTCAGCCTGCATGCGGGCGGCAAGCAAGCAAGCAAGCAAGCGAGCAATTCAAATGTCCGACTAATTCGATGATTGACTGATTGTGTACTCGTTGGCTCGTTCGCGGGGTGCAGACTGCGGAGGGCGTGCGCAGAGGACGGGGACGGGGCCAGCGATTGGCAAAGTGATGGGCAGTGATGAGCCCGGATCGACAGGTTGAGTTTCGAGGATTGGAGAAGGGACCGTGGGTCACGGCGACCGGATTGACGTTTGATCGCCAGGTCAAAAGTGGGTTTGCGTGCTTGCGACGTCGCAAGTTATGGTCGACCCGATTGCTATTGTGGTCGAGGTAGTTCAATTGGGAGACGGGATGAAAGTCAAGTGAAGGACTTGGTGGCTGATGTTGTTGATTGCTATTGTAGGCGACTCGCTGGCTTCGAGTCCCGAAAGAGACAGACGGAAATAAAATGAGAGACTGGGCAAATCCCTTTGCGCGTATCCAGATGAAACACCTTCTACGATTGGAACAAACATGAAGGAACGTGGTATGTAAGGGAATGCCAGGGGAGGGCCGAACAGAGCAGAAAAGACACATAAAAGTCCTGGGCAGAAAGATTGGTGAGAAGGGATCAAGTGAAATGGGAGCGAGGAGATGCCCAGAGAAGAATGGCCGAAGATGAGATTCTGTGGATGCACCGCAAGCAAGGGTCTCGTCTCATTTTTGCACACCCAGTCGCCAGGAACGCCAGGAACGTCAGGTACCAAGACGAAAGGGGCCAGTGCGAGGCCGAGGCGGCGTCGATGTGCACGCCAGGGAATGGCTTGGGTGCAACCCCGAGCCAACCGTGACCCCGAGCCACACTAAGGTAGGTACCGTTCGTCTGACGGGACCTTGTGGTTCAACCCCTGCATCATCGAATTCGGTGTCCAGCTGTGGGGAAGCTGACGTTGCCGTTGATGGGGTTACACAATAATACTTTGAATATCCTCTTGAATGTTCAATATCCTGTAGCTAGCCCTGGCTAGTGCAAACACCAGATTCTCTTTACGTACTACCACTAGCTGATATTAGTGATTGGCTCATGACATCCAAGACCTTCGAGCCTCCCCCC